TTCAGGGATTTGGGGTTTTTGGTGTTTCAGGGATTTGGGTTTTTGGTGTTTTGGGGATTTGGGGGTTCAGGGATTTCGGGGCTCACACCCCAGCTCTGAGGTTTGCTGGATGCTCTCAGGACTGCACAAAATGATTTGAAGAAGATGAGAAGATCCAGCCCGCCCTGGGGAGCAGAGGCAGCGCAGCCCCGCCCGCGGGGCTCAGGGGCTCATTACCGCCGTGACTAATGAAGGAGTTAATGAGCTGCCGTACCTGTTCTTGCTCTCCAGCTCCGCTATCAGCTGCCGCTGCTGCCGGTTGGCGTCGAAGCTGAAAGGCGGGTCCGGGCCCGGGCGGGGCTGCGCGACGGGAANCTTGCTCTCCAGCTCCGCTATCAGCTGCCGCTGCTGCCGGTTGGCGTCGAAGCTGAAAGGCGGGTCCGGGCCCGGGCGGGGCTGCGCGACGGGAACGCGGGAGGCACGGGAAGAAATAAAGAACGGGAATCACAGGAACCGCAGAAACACAGGAAACAGAGGAAAACACGGGAATGAGAGAGATAGAGATAGAGAAACACGGGAATGAGAGAGATAGAGAAACACACGGGAATGAGAGAAATAGAGAGAAACACGGGAATGAGAGAGATAGAGAAAAACGGGAATGAGAGAGATAGAGATAGAGAAACACGGGAATGAGAGAGATAGAGATAGAGAAACACGGGAATGAGAGAGATAGAGAAACACGGGAATGAGAGAGATAGAGAAAAACGGGAATGAGAGAGATAGAGATAGAGAAACACGGGAATGAGAGAGATAGAGAAACACGGGAATGAGAGAGATGGAGAAAAACGGGAATGAGAGAGATAGAGATAGAGATAGAGATAGAGATAGAGATAGAGATAGAGATAGAGATAGAGATAGAGATAGATAGAGAAAAACGGGAATGAGAGAGATAGAGAAACACGGGAATGAGAGAGATAGAGATAGAGAAACACGGGAATGAGAGAGATAGAGAAAAACGGGAATGAGAGAGATAGAGAGAAACACGGGAATGAGAGAGATAGAGAAAAACGGGAATGAGAGAGATAGAGATAGAGAAACACGGGAATGAGAGAGATAGAGAAAAACGGGAATGAGAGAGATAGAGATAGAGAAACACGGGAATGAGAGAAATAGAGAAAAACGGGAATGAGAGAGATAGAGAAACACGGGAATGAGAGAGATAGAGATAGAGAAACACGGGAATGAGAGAGATATAGAGAAACACGGGAATGAGAGAGATAGAGATAGAGAAAAACGGGAATGAGAGAGATAGAGATAGAGAAAAACGGGAATGAGAGAGATAGAGATAGAGAAAAACGGGAATGAGAGAGATAGAGATANCTTGCTCTCCAGCTCCGCTATCAGCTGCCGCTGCTGCCGGTTGGCGTCGAAGCTGAAAGGCGGGTCCGGGCCCGGGCGGGGCTGCGCGACGGGAAACGGGGAGGCACGGGAAGAAATAAAGAACGGGAATCACAGGAACCGCAGAAACACAGGAAACAGAGGAAAACACGGGAATGAGAGAGATAGAGATATGGAAAAACGGGAATGAGAGAGATAGAGAAACACGGGAATGAGAGAGATAGAGAGAAACACGGGAATGAGAGAGATAGAGAAACACGGGAATGAGAGAGATAGAGAAAAACGGGAATGAGAGAAATAGAGATACAGAAAAACACAGGAATAGCAGAAATAGAGAAAAACACGGGAATGAGAGATACAGAAAAACACGGGAATGAGAGAGATACAGAAAAACACGGGAATGAGAGAGATGAAACACGGGAATGAGAGCAATAGAGAAAAACAGGAATGAGAGCAATAGAGAAAAACAGGAATGAGAAAAATAGAGAAAAACACGGGAATGAGAGAAATAATAGAGAAAAACACGGGAATGAGAGAAATAGAGAAAAACACGGGAATCGCAGGAAATACGGAAAAACACAGAAATAGCAGAAATACGGAAAAACACAGGAATTGCATAAATTGAGGAAAACACAGAAATCGAAGAAAACAGAAGCACAGAAAACACATAAAATACAGAAAAACACAGAAATTGCAGAAAATAGAAGCATAGAAAACACAGGAATCACCGAAAATAGAAACACAGAAATCACAGAAAATACAGAAAATACAGAAAAACACAGGAATCACACAAAATATAGAAAAACACAGAAATTGCAGAAAATAGAGAAAAACACAGAAATCACAGAAAATACAGAAAAACAAAGAAATTACAGAAAATAGAGAAAAACACAAGAATCACAGAAAATAGAGAAAAACACAGAAATTGCAGAAATAGAGAAAAACACAGGAATCACAGAAAATACAGAAAAACACAGAAATTGCAGGAAATAGAGAAAAACCCAGAAATCACAGAAAATACACAAGAACAGCAAACAGAAATTACACAAGTCACAGAAAACAAAATCACACAAATCACACAAATCATAAAAAACACAGAAAATACACAAGCCCACAAATCACAGAAAAAACACAAATCACACAATCACACCAATTACAGAAATCACAGAAATCATAGAAAACACAGAAAATACACAATCACCCGAGTCACAGAAAACGCAGAAATTACAGAAACCACAGAAATTACAGAAACCAATCACACAAATCATAGAAAACTCAGAAAATACACAATCACACAAATCACAGAAAACACAAATCACAGAAATCAATCACATAAATCATAGAAAACACAGAAAATACGCAATCGCACAAATCATGGAAAACACAGAAATTACAGAAACCTCACAACAAATCACAGAAAACACAAATCACACAACCACAGAAATCATAGAAATCACAGAAATCATAGAAAACACAGAAAATACACAATCACACAAATCACACAGTCACAGAACCCACACAAATCACAGAAAAAACACATCACACAATCACACGAATTACAGAAATCATACAACTCATAGAAAACACAGAAAATACACAGTAACACGTCACAGAAAACACAGAAATTACAGAAACCACACAAATCACAGAAAACACAAATCACACAATCACAGAAACCACAGAAACCCACAGAAATCACAGAAAACACAAATCACAGAAATCACAGAAATCATAGAAAACATAGAAAACACAGAAAATACACAATCACACAAGTCACACAATCACAGAAATCACACAAATCACAGAAAACACAAATCACACAATCACAGAAAACACAGAAATCACAGAAGTCACAGAAATCACCCAATGCCACCAATGCTACCAGTCCCACCAATGCCACCAGTGTCACCAGGGCACTCTGCCCTGCCACTGTCCCAGGGTGTCCCAGTGCCCAGCCTGGCCTTGGGCACTGCCAGGGATCCAGGGTGGGCACCCTGTGCCAGGGCCTGCCCACCCTGCCAGGAACAATTCCCAATTCCCAATCTCCCACCCAGCCCTGTCCTCTGGCACTGGGAGCCATTCCCTGGCTCCTGTCCCTCCATCCTTGTCCCCAGTCCCTCTGAGCTCTCCTGGAGCCCCTTTGGCCCTGGAGGTGGCTCCAGGATCTCCCCAAGCTCCGTTTTCCCCTTTCACCCCCGGATCTGCACCCACAGGATTTCTCTGTGGGAATCACAAGCCCAGCCTGGAACCAGCCCAGCCAGTGGGGTTGGGGCCACAGGATCCCAACTGGTTTGGGTGGGAAGGGACCCCAGCCCCTGTGCTGCCCCCCGAGCTGTCCCCATTCCCCTGAGCTGTCCCCATTCCCCTGAGCTGTCCCCATTCCCCCGTCCTGTCCCCATTCCCCCGTCCTGTCCCCATTCCCCCGTCCTGTCCCCATTCCCCTGAGCTGTCCCCATTCCCCC